TTTTCTTCCACTCTTCTGAAAGTAATGTTCACACACAGAAGGCACAAGTTCCTGTTTCCTTCCTTTCAGCGAGGGATACGGGGCCAGGTTGAGTGGGAGGAGCATTTTGGTCTCAGTGGAGGTAGGTGGGATGATTCCATCGGTACCAAGATCTGGAAGGAAGCAACAGGTCAACTACATTTGCTAACATCATAGAGCAAGAGGGGAATAGCGACTGGTGGCTGGCCAGTGGAGGGGTTCTTTTGGGGGTGCTGAAGATATTCTGGAATTAAATAATGGTGATAGTTGCACGATTTTTTTTTTTTTTTTTTGGTACAGGGTTTCACTATGCAGCCTGGACTCGTAGTGAGCCCTGTCTCAGCCTCCGGAGTGCTGGGATTATAGATGTGTGGCACCACACCTAGTTTCAGTGGCAGGCACAGGGCACCCAGGGACCCAGTCCCGCATAGCACGCAGTAAGGGGGGATAGAACCCAGGCCATTGCACTTGCCAGGCAGGTGCTTCTGCTGCTAAGCTCTCTCCCCAGCCCCGCAATCTTGTAAATATACTAAAAACTACAGAATGGTAAATTTTATGACATACTTTAAGAGCTACTACTATCATTGTTTCTCTCTGCTGGGGATAGGGAAAGAATTTCAATTCTTTGAGCTATGCCTAAATTGGGCAATAAAGGCTGAGCACCTTGCTGAACTGCCTGGATTTAGACAAGTGGGTCTGCCTCTTTAACAAGCACAAGTCCGTGACCTGTTGTCTCACTTTCAAATCTCTGTGTCTTTCTGAACTAGGACAGGCTCTCAGGGCATCTGCTCTGAGGATACTTTTTAGGGTAGTATTTGTCTCATGAGCTAAGGCCCAAGGTGCTTTCTCCCACAGCATCCCAGGTGGGAGCAGGAGGCAGGAATTGGTACTACTTTCCTCTCTTCTTGGGTCAGCCACTCCTGAAGCCCAGGAGCTTCTCTGTGGCTAAGCTCTAGACTCACCTCAGAACACGCTGAGAAACAGATTCCTGGCATGGAGTGGAACACTCCTAAATCCAGCAAAAGATCTGGCCTTTTCTGACAGGAGTATTTGGAAATTTCCACCATCAAACTGAGGATGGAAATTTTGGCTTTGTTGACATCAGCCTCTTGCCAGGACTGCTTACTTACTGGCTACAGCTTCTACCTCCCAGGGATACAGTCCAGTGTGGCCCTCCACTCTGTCCTCTCCCTGCCCCCTACTTCCCCTTTTCCAGCCACATAACAAGGTCTGTATCCCAAGGCAGTGGCCCAACTCCTCACATGTCCCTGGGCCCTGCTGGTGGCCTCTGCCCTCCCCCTCTCCATCTTACCCTGAGGAGTTAAAACTGGAGGAGGAGTTCATTGCTGCTTTGGAGTTATTTTGAGATGCAGTGGGGCTGCTGGTGTGGAGTCCTGAGCCAGGAGACGAAGGCCTGCTGTTGTTCCCAGGGGAACAGGATGACGTTACTGAGGACAAGGAGAGACAAACAAAAGGAGAAAATAATGCTGCTGGGTCCTGGGACCTTGTGACATGGCCCTTCCAACACTTGATTTCCTGTGTGTCCCCAAAAGGATTTCTCCCCTCTCCACCCTTCTATCCACAGTGTACAACATTAGCGTTATTAAGGACTACACTCCAGCCTATCCCCAGAGGGGCTGTTATTGTACATGGGCTCTGCAGCCCTGGTCCTTGAGAGCAGCGTAGCTGGTTCTGCAAGTCCAAAACTTGCCAAATGCAACAACAGATGCCAACATCACCCCACTTCAGGACACACCCTGGGCTGGGCATCCGCAGCTCCAGACCAGGAGGCAGCAAAGGAAAAGGAATAAGAAGCTTAGGAAAAGAAAGCAGCAAAGAGAGATGTACACAGGACAGAAAGAGTCCCGGGAAGTTTAAGATTGCTGGCCTCTCTAGCCTTCTGTTTCCCCCACAGAGGAAATCGACGGCACCGGGTCTCCCCCCCCCCCCAAACCAGGGATTGAACTCAGGCCCTTGCACTTGCCAGGCAAGCGCTTATTCTACTGAGCTATCTCCCTGGCCTTGCACAGGGTCTTGAAAGAGCACAGAGCCGGGAGGGAGGGGACCTGGGTCTCATCTTGGTCGTGCATCTCTCGCTAAACAGCAGTGTGGCCTGAACTCCCTTACTGCGCTTCCCGGAAACTCACTCTGTCCTCTGCACAACAGCAGCTTTGGATCAACTGGAATTCTTGTGCTTGCATTTCCCAGGCTCTGCCCATGGCTACACCGGCATATATTTTACTGTGCAAACTAAGACACTTCACAAACGGAAGCACGCATACGGGTAACTATGCGAGGACATGAGACAGCCCCTGGCGCCGGCCTGAGCGCACCTGAACGGGGGGTCGCTGGATCTCATTCTTTGAAATGCTATAGGTACTTCTTGAAAAAGAAAGCATGGGTGGGCCGGGGAGATGGCTCAGTGGAATAAGCGCTTCCCTGGCAAGCGTGAGGACCTGAGTTCAATCCCCGGTTCCGCAAAAAAAAAAAAAAAAAAAGAAAAAAAAGAAAGAAAGCATGGTAGAAAATTAGCCTGGCAAGCTGTGCCTCCCTACCAGCTTCTTCAGAGCTCACTTTAGAATGCGCTATGAGTGTGAGTGGTGAGAAGTGCTACAATGAAAACAAAACAACAAATACACATTTGTTTAAATTTTGCTTGCCTGGCATTTTCCAGCTTCTTTGAACATAGAACCCTGCTTCACTGTCCTTTGCAATACATTTAGGGAATGCTGATCTAAATAGGTCACTTTTAGTTCTAATTTCCTGGTATTAGCTCAACGGCAGAGCGCCTACCTGGCAAGTGTGAGGGTGTGAGTTTGATTACCGGTACCAAAAGAAGGAAGGAAGGAGAGAGAAACAGACTTCTGGTGCCATCAAGAAACCTCATTTAAAAACTCACCTGTTGCAGGCATGGTACTGTGGATGGGAGGGACAGAGAGGGGGCCCAGAGACCCTGAGGGAGAGACCTAAGAGGGAAGAGAGATTTGTAAATGGGCAATCCCACTTCCTTCTATAACTTTTCCCAAGACGTTGAACCCCGGACTACAAAGAACAGACTTTCCTGGAGATTTCCTATATATATCTAAAATCTGTACACCCTCTACCCTCCTCTTCCCAGGGAGGCCCTAGGTCACGTACAGCGGCCTACCTCCAGCTCTGGTCTGCTCTGGAAGGCCCGTGGTGCTGGCACCATGCCCACCTTCCCCTGTTGTGCACCCTGCAGGGGTTTTTGGTCCTGCCAGGCCGCACTGCCCTACCCAGAGCCCCAGTGAGGAGCGAAGCTGGCCTCTGGGGCCCTGCCGCGGCAGATGCTGCCGGCTGCCCACCTCATTTCCAGTCCCCATTTCACTTTTGTGAAAGAGCCCTGCTTGTACTTTCGGCAGTACAGCACCAACCCCAGCAACCCTGCTGCCCACCCTGCTGGATGAGTGGATCGCAGACTCTCCAGAGTAACCGGAATGGCTGAACACTGGACTCTGGAGCTTTTTATTTTATCCTGGAAACTTCACAGCATCAACTCCGCGATTACAAAGGGACTTAGTACCGAGTCCACACAATGAGTGTATTCGTTATGCGTCACTAACATACACTAATAAAGAAAGAGTAAAAATAAGTGTTCTAAAACATTGAGTTTGGGGCTGGAGAGATGGCTCAGTGGTCTAAAGCACCTACTTAGAACAAGCTTGGCAAAAGCACAGGGACTGCGGTTCGATCCCCAGCACCACATGCCAGCCAGCCCCGCCCCCTGGTGGGCTGAGCTGGACACACACACACACACACACACACACAAAAAAAATGTTAAAATAAATAAATAAATAAAACATTGAGTTTGACCCTCCCACGTAGCACAGGCAACTCCTCCTCCTCACTATTGCTATCCTAGAACAACATCACAAAACAAGGTGTAGCAAAATGAAAGGGCGGACCAGGCCTTATAGGCACACCCCTAGAATTACAGCGCTCGGGAAAAACGAGGGCACAAACCTGGGTACCATACTGAATTAGAGAGACCCATCCTCAAAATAAAAAGTAAGAATGAGTGGGGACGTAGCTCAGTGCAAAGGCCCTATTTCAACCTCCAGTACCACAGAAAAATACATAAAAAAGATAGACAGGCTGGCGACCTGGACCCATCATTGGCCATGTGCGTGACTTCAGGCAAGTTACCCAACCCCAATGAAATTTCATTTTCTCATCTATAAAACAGCAGCAACACCTCCCTGATATTTTCTTTTAATTAAGATTTAATGAACTAATGTCCATAAAGCTTCCAAGCCAATGACGGGCAAAAAGTACGAGTTTGTTAAGTATTAGTTCTCTTCCTTCCTGAAGCAGAGAAAGCTACTGCAGCTGTACCTCTGAGGGTACTTTTCAGCTCGGCCCTGGAGCTGGAACCTTCATGTTCCGCTCCCTCCCCTCCCTTCTCCTGCTGCTGACAGGGAAGCTCTAAGCAGTGTTTCCAAAGGATGTTGACAGGCACCTGTAATGTGACGACTCCTCCCTGTCCAAACCGGGAGCGTCCCATCCCAACAGGATGCAGCATGTTCTCATTTCCTAATTAATCAGCAAATGTTCTCACTGTTTGCAAGTACCTTACCTTTTACAATGAACCTCCTCAGTAGGCTGGGGCCCCACAAAGGGTGGAGACCAGTGTGGGGCAGCTTGGGAGGGGTGGCGAAGCGGTGAGAGATGTTATCGACATTTTCCCTTCCCTCCTTCCTACCCTCCCTGGTGCCACGCCTAAGAAATTTGTTGTTGTTTTTAAATAAATAAAAAAATGCATGTAGTCACTGTGACCAGCTCCTTCTACTGCCTCCTAAAGAGAGGCTATGCGTATGCAAACATAGTTTCCTGTGTGTGTGTGTGTGTGTGTGTGTGTGTGTGTGTGTGTATAAATAAAATGGCTCCCGTACCAATCTATTCCATTCTGCTTTTATCTCACCCTTTTTCTAAATTAACTGGATAAGCCAAGGATGGTGGTGCATGCCTACAATCCTAGCACTTGGGAGGCCTAGGTAGGATAATCATAAAGCTAACTTAGGCTACATTCTGAGATACTGTCTTAAAAACCCAAGAACAATAATTACAATAAACTGTTATCTATGAGATCATTTCATATTGGAAGCAAAATAAAACCCTATGTTCTTGTCCCACGGAGATCTGAGGAAGAGGCAGTGGGAGAATTTTCTTTCTCTGTACTCACACTCCTTTAGTCCCTGGACTCCACCCATCCCAGCCTGCAAGCTTCCTTCCCTCTCTATCCCACCAGCCTCAGGACCTGTGTACACACACCATTTCCTCTGCCTAGAACTTGCTCCTGCCTGCACCCCTAACTCAGTTGCTTCCTCCCATTCGTGTCAATGGTGAGGACTGCTTTTCTGCCATCAGTTTAAACATCCTTCCTCACAGAAGCCTTTGACACAGTGGACTGGGTTATGCGCCTCAGATACCTCCACCCCTTCCCTGAAGTTCATCACAAGTACAACTGATTCAGTGCCCATTTTCCCTGCTAGGTTGTAAGCAAGGATTATGTGTGTGTTATGCCACTATACCCCCACGACCGTGTATTCAGGGAATATTTAAGGAAGCAATGATGAATTACTATCATTTGACTTAAAATGTTACATGGCTCTTCAGAGCTTTTAGGGTAACAGCATCCACGGCCCACTACGACCCATGATATCCCTCCTCAACCTCTCGCAGAGCTTTGGCTCCAGTCTGGCTAAAATGCACATGTCTTCCAAAGGCATCAAGCTGTTTTACAGTTGTACTCCTTCTCCGGGACTGGTCCTTCTGCCTGCTGTGCTCCTCTTTGAACAAATCAGGCAGTTATCCTTCTCAGTTTCTTCCCTCAACCCTCTTCCTTTTGCCATCCTCGAATGCTCGTAGCTCCCCAGGGCTTAGGTGTGGACCCTCCATGCAAACTCCACAGGTAAGCTCCTCTTTACATAGGGTTTCAACTACCACCTGTATGTCTGTGACTCCCCAGTGCACGTCTCCACCCCAGCTTCTCTCCTGACCTGCAGACCCATCCTCCTAGGGTCCAGGGTCCGTCCCACTTTGGGGTCCTACAGTTCGTAGTGTGTACTACCATGGTGCACAGCCCCTGAAATCATCACTTCACCACTCCTAAACCAGCTCCTCCTATTTACCTGTTCCAAGCACACCACTGGCATCTGGCCAGCCAGCCACACCCAAGCCCTGGGTCTGTTACAGGGTTCTTTTTCCTTCATCACTCTCCCTACCCCCAGCCAATTTTCAATTCATTAACCAAGACCTTCTCATTATCTGTTGACTTTCTCCCGTCCCTCTTTCTTACCATGTGCATTTTCTTTATCCTCCTTAGTTCTCTACCCGATAAGTGCAGTTCTATCCCATCTTGTGCCTCTTAAGCCAGCCTGCATACTGTACTCAAAGTGCTAAGTCTTAAAAACAAATCTGATCATGCTGATTTCCTGCTTAAAATCCTTCAGTGACTCCCCCAGACCTCAATGGCAATGCACACCTGCCCTGTATTATGTCAACCCTTGTCTAGTCTCATCTTGTAACATTCGTCTCTGTATGGACCCACGTGCAGTTCCAGGAGTGTGCCACCCAGCCTCTATGCTCTGTACCACTGTCTCATGAATCTCCCTGGTGACAACTCTACCTCACAGTCACTTGCCTCTCGCTCCTTTTCCATTTAGACTCAGCTCAGGTACTAATGACCTCCTTGGGGAAGCCTTCCTAGCTACCACCTCCCAAGGCTTATTAATTGTTAAGTTCTCCTAGAGAAATGATCACATTGTTTATCATTTGTTTATCTGTCTGTCTCTTCTGCTAGGCGGTGAGTCCTCTAGGACAAAGAACAAATGACATTTATCTTTGTATTCCAGCCCTCAGCACAAAGATCAAAGTACCACTGCTGAAAAATCAACACCAAACATCTTTAAGAAACTGTTTTGTCCTACGTGGACAGTGCTTAATTTCAACCCTCCTAGAGCGCTGGAATACTTGGAAGACATCACCACTCCAACTCCCCAGCCTTCAGCCATCACTGTTCATATAAAGAACATTCCTACCCCTACCCTGAAGGCACCATCTCTTCTGGTAGAGAGGATGGCTGCTATTCCCTAAGCTTCCACTTTTGACTGAAACCCCCAATTATTCCCTGTCCTGGCTTTTCCCTTGGACATATGATTTAGCCCTGCACTGGGGACTTAACCCAGGACCATGACACACCAGACAAGCACTTCACCACTAAGCTACACCCCTGGTCCTTTTCATTTAATTTTGAGCCAGGGTCTCCCTAAGTCACCAAGGCTGGCCTTGAATTTGTGATCCTCTTGTCCCAGCTTCTTGACTAGCTGGTTCACAGGCATATGTCACCACGCCTGACTCGGTTCCTTCCTTGGTACTTCCTCTTGGGTGCCTACTAGGCATGTCCGACTTAACATGACCTGTGCCAAATTCTTCCTGCATTTTGGAAAGATGGCAGGGCCTTGCAAATAGCTGCCCAGTTTCCAAATGAAGAGATCTTTGCCCCATTCTTCATATTCTGTGTCCAAGCTCTCAGCACAGCTTCCTGCCTCCATGGTTGAAGTACACCCAGAATCCCAGCATGTCCTTGCTGCAGCTACACTGGCTTCCTTGCTGTATCTCTACTCACTTAGTGGTCCCTCTGCCTGAAACACACTTTGCCCCACGTGTCATCTGTCAGAGAAGTCTTCTCTGACCTTTTTCGAAAGGCATCTTGGGCTGTGGGGATAGCTCAGTGGTCTAAGTGCCTGCCTGGCTAGGGCAAGGACCCAGGTTCAATCCCTGGTACCTCATGCTGTGCTAGCACCAGAACCCCGGGTGCACCATAGAGGCCACCAAAACCAGGCGTGGTGTGGCATGCCTGTAATCCCAGAGCTGGGGAGGTAGAGACAGGAGGATCGCTGTGAGCTCAAGCTGTGTAGTGAGAGACCCTGTACCAAAACTAAATTCTTAAAAAAATTTTAAAAAGGAATCTCCTTTACTTCCCATCTCTTTTATTAAAAATTTATTGAAGTAAAAGATATATTGCTATTAATTCCCCTCAAAATACTCTCCTTTGCTTTGAACATACTTATCCCCTCATTCTTGCCACTTTCTGAAGCAGTTCTAGAAGTCTTCTAGAGTGACTTTAAATTTATTTATTTATTTTGTGTGTGTGTGTGTGGCCAGCTCAGCCCACCAGGGGGCGGGGCTGGCTGGCATGTGGTGCTAGGGATTAGAACCACGGTCACTGTGTTTTTGCTTAGCTTAGCTTAGCTTCTTCTAAGTAGGTGCTTTAGACCACTGAGCCATCTCACCAGCCCTAGAGTGACTTTAGTTAAACTGTTGTAGCTGCCTCGATGTCCTGAACTGATTAAAAACATATATCATTTTGGGGGCGGGGAGATGGCTCAGTGGAATAAGCGCTTCCCTGGCAAGCACAAGGGTCTGAGTTCAATCCCCGGTTCTGGAAAAAAAAACAAAAAACATATACCATTTTGACTTGGGGGAAGAGCGAGAAGATGCGCAGCACCAGATCTGGTGAGTAACATGGATAGGACACACCACCATGTTCTCACAAGCCTGCCTCCCACTGGCTGGTACTCGGTAGCAGCAGCCACTGTACTTTTGATTACATGTTATGAAGATGCGAAGAGGCTTCCGAATTGCTTCACAAAGTAGGAAGAATAAGGGGCTAAGTGTGTTCAAAGCAAGTGGGATATGTTGAGGGGATTGATGGTGGTGTGTCTTTTACTATGAGAAATATTTACTGATGTATTTTTATCACATGGTATATAGCTATTTGCTTGTAAATATAAATATAAATGATTACTCATGTTCACAAACCCCACTTCCATCTTCCTGGGAGAGGAGACTCTGCCCTCCGGGCCTTGTGTCCCCCATCCCTGGTCTTGGTGGACAGCTCGGTTCCCGGCCACTCACCAGTCGGGAGTTGTAGATGGGTGATTTGACAGGAGCAGACACAGGGCAGTTGATTCGCTTCTCCTTTTGGCGTCGGTTGCAGAACCAGACCCTCACCACCTCCTTCTCCATGGACAGCTGCTCTGCAATCATGGAGATCTCTTCTGAGCTGGGCTTGGGGTTCTGCAAGGGTGAAGACACAGTGGTCAGGAGGAGCTGGTGCTCCAGAGAAGCAGCACTGACACACGCGTGGGCTGAGGGCTTTAGGCTGGAACCCGGCACGGAACTCTGGATTTATCACTTACCCACCGTGCACTCTCAGGAAGTTTTCCTTCTGTAGTTCAATTTTTATTAGGGACTATTAACATAATACTGCATTTCAATGCATAGATTTCGATCATATGCATCCCCTCAGGCTTCTCCGATGCCTCCTCCCTTTTCTTCTCTTCCTCTTATTTAATATCCTCCCTTCTACTTTCATGTCATTTTCATATTTTAGATTGCAAATAGTGGGGAGAACATGTAACACTCTTCTTTCTGACTCATCTACCTTAACATAATGCTATCTAGTTCTACTCATTTTCCTGCAAATGACAGTTTTGTTCCTTTTATGACTAATATTCTATTTGTGTGTATATATATATATATGTATGTATAGTGTGTATACATATATAATATATATACAGACTTTTTCTATTCATCTACTATGTATTTTAATTAATTAATTTATTTGTGTGTGTGTGTGTGTGTGTGTGTGTGTGTGTGTGTGTGGCTGGCTCAGCCTGCCCTAGGGGCAGGGCTGGCGCAGCATGTGGTGCCAGAGATTGAACCGAGGTCCCTGCACTTACCTATGCTGGCACTTTAGACCGCTGAGCTATCTCGCCGGCTCTCCATTCTTCTAGTGATGCGTACTGAGGAAGCTCCCACAGCTTGAGTGTTGTGAACTGTGCCACAATAAACATAGGTGTGCAGGTACACGCTTCCTTATGAAGTGCTGACTGTAATACTTCTGGGCATACACCAAGGAGTGGTATAGTAAACCAAATGGTGGCTCTTTTTTCAGGTTTTTTTTTTTTTTTTGGTTTTTTTTTTTTTACATTTATTTATTTGTGTGTGTGTGTGTGTGTGTGTGTGGCCAGCTTAGCCCACACCTGGGGGCGGGGCTGGCTGGCATGTGGTGCTGGGGGATCGAACTGCAATCCCTGTGCTTTACCAAGCTTGTTCCAAGTAGGTGCTTTAGACCACTGAGCCATCTCACCAGCCCCATCTTTTTTCAGGTTTTTGAGAAACCTCCATGCAGACTTCCATGGCTGTGTTAATCCACATTCTCACCAGCAGTAGAATGTAAATCCTGCCCCACAAGCATCCTTAACAAGACTTAATGACTGGGGAGATAGATCAGTAGAATAAGTGCTTGCCTGGCAAGCACAAGGGTCCGAGTTCAATCCCCGGTTCCACCAAAAAAAAAAAAAAAAAAAAAAAAAGGGCTTATTGTGTTTTGGAGTTTGAAAGTGGCCATTATAACTGAGGTAAGATGGACTCTCAATGGCGTTTTTTGGTTTTTGGTTTTTTTTTTTTGTGGAACCAGGGATTGAACTCAGGCCCTTGTGCTCGCCAGGCAAGCACTTATTCTACTGAGCCATCTCCCCGGCCCCCTCTCAATGGCGTTTTGATCCACATTTCCTTAATGGTAATTTTCATATATTTACTGGCCATTTGCATCTCTTCTTTTGAGAAACGTCTGTTTAATTCATTCGCCAATGTATTAATGGGGCCATCTGGTTTTTTAGTGTCCATTTTGGACTTCTTTATATATTTTAGATATTAATCCTCCTGGAATAGTAACTAGCAAAGATGTTTTTCCAACTATGTAGACTGTTTCTTCATTCTGTTAATTGTTTCCCTGGGTGCGTCCCAACTTTTTAACTTGACATAACCCCATTTGTTGACTCTTGCTATTTATTCAGGAAGCCTTTGCCTGTACTTACAGCTTCAAACATTTCTCCTATGTTTTCTTCTAGTAGTTTTAAAATATTAGATCTTATACCTAGGTCCTTGATCTACTGCAAATTATATTTTTGCACAGGGTGAAAGATAGGGTTCTAGTTTCAATCTTCTCCATATAGATACTCACTCTTCCCATGATCATTTGTTAAAACAACTGTCTTCTCTTCAACATGATTTTTTGGTTTCTCTGTCAAGACTCAAATGGCTGTAGCTGTGTATTTCTTCCTCTGTTTTCTATTATGTCCTGTTGGGCTATGTGCCATTACCATGCTAATTTTATTACTCTGGCTTTGTGGTAAAATTTGAAATCAGGTGTTGTGGATTCCTCTAGACTTTTTTTTTTTTTGCTTAGGATTACTCTTGACTATTCTGGAGATTTTGTGGTTTTGTATTAATTTTAGGATTTCTTTTCCTGCTCCATGAAGCATGTCCTAGGAATTTTGATGGTGGTTGCATTGATGTAGTAGATCACTTATGGCAACGTGGCCACTTTAATATTTTTTAAATTTATTATTATTTTGTGGCTGGCTCAGATCATCCTGGCGGCAGGGCTGGCACTATAGTGCTGGGGATTGAACCTTGGTCCTTGAGCTTGCCTAAACTTAACTAAGCAGGTGCTTTAGACTGCTGAGCTATCTCAATGGCTCCCATTTTAATAGTATAATTCTGCCAGTTTAGGAGGTCATTCTTTTTTCTAGGGTCCAGTTCAACTTCTTTCTTCAGTGGGCTGTAATTTTCTTATCTTTTTTTTTTTTTTGTAATTTTCATTGTAGAAATCTTTCATCTCCTTGTCTAGGTTAATCTCTAGGTATTTTTTAAGCTATTGTGAATGGAACCGTTTTCCTGATTTCTTTTCTTTTTTCTCACTATTGGTGTACAGAAAAGCTATTGAGTTTCTAAGGTTTATTTCGTATTTTGTCTTTTTACCTGTGTGGTACTAGGGATTGAACTTGGGGTCTTGATATGCTCAGTAAGTGCTGTACCACTGAGCTGTACAACGAGCTTGCATTCATATCTGTATTTATGATTTTTAGAGACAGTTGCCTTGGCAGATCTTGAACTCGCAATCCTCCTGTCTTAGCCTCCTCACTTGTTGGAATCACAAGTGTATGTCACTGCTGATTTTAATTCCTTCAGGTGTATTCCTTCAGGTCTCGTCTACAAAATGAGAACGATAGTGCCTACCATGTAGGATCACGGTGAAGATTAACTGAGAAAATGTATGAGAACTACCCAGCACAGGGCGAACACAGGGCTGACACTCCTTTCCTCAGACATACAGAGCGGTTGGTTCATGGAGGAGCTATAAAGGACAGGGGGACAATCCCAGAAATACATGTTCCCCTTGAGTTTTTCCTCAACCTCATATCCTTTTCCCCATCATCTCTTCCTAGAAAACGAGGAAATGAAAACGCTCACATCTGCTAAATCTACAAGATAGCAGTATCATAGGCAATGTGAGAGCCCCACCCCCTTGCTGGGACCCCTGCCCACCTAGTCTGTGGTCTAAAGCAATTTCTCCACACTCCTGCATCTTTCCTTAACTGTGCTGCTCTGAAAAACCTAAAAAGAAGGACAAGTTGGCTGTAGCTGTCCTGCCAGAAGAACATGGCCACCAAGTTCTTAGGCAGAC